TTCTTAATGTTCTAAAATTGTTTGTGCCCCTGTCAGTCACGGGCCCTTAGAATCGTTCTAACTTTTCACACCCTTACGGCGCCCCTGCAAATATATATCTAATAAGTATATAAAATATCTAGTATAGCCAAACTAGTAATTACACCGCATCAAGATTATACATATTAAGAAAAATATGTTGGTTTATTTAAGATATTTTAGCTATTCTAGAAATGGGGTTTTTCGGTTGATCTTTCTTTTTTGGTTACTGTGAATATCTACAGTACATTGTTGGTTACTGTGATCTTCTACAGTACATTGTTGGTTACTGTGATCCTCTACAGTACATTGTTGGTTACTGTGATGTTCTACAATACATTGTTGGTTACTGTGAATATCTACAGTACATTGATGGTTACTGTGATTATCTACAGTACATTGTTGGTTACTGTGATCATCTACAGTACATTGTTGGTTACTGTGATTTTATACATTTGGGACGTTACTACTGCTATTTCTACAGTAACTCCAGAGTTGCTGTAATTTTTGGTTCGAAACACGGTATTATACTCTAAAATGGTATACAGTAATTTACTGTGCACACTGTAATAACTGTGGATTTCACAGCCATTTTTTACAGTGTAGGTTTGGATCAATGAAAGAAAAAAAGAAAACGAGAGATGGCCTGTACATCAGCATCATAAACACACGTGATTCAAAGGTGACCCAAGACCTCATAGCTGCCTTGATAAGTTCTATCTGTTTGAACAAAACCACAGTGAAGTTTTTTGAGGTTGAATATTCAATATCGCTGCGCTAACCTTCCCATATTTGTGAAAATTACACAAAATAAAACGATTATACTTTTTTATAAATGTGGCACACATTTTTTATGACTTTGATGAATTGATTTAACAAAAAGTAATCGTTAAAACAACAAATCAAACAGATGAAACTAGAAGCAATTGAAACAATGCAATATGGTTGTGTAAATCCTATATACCCTTTTATGAAAACATTCACATAAAGTAGACAAAGCACTCAAATCCAATAAAAATAGGTGTGTCTGATAAGTCCAGTGTGCCACTTGTGCCACTTAGAAATGATTATATTTGTGTTCACTTAATTTTCACTTATATGTGCAAGTTAGCAAGTAGGTACTATAAATAACATTTGTGTCATTTGAACAAGGTATTGATGGTCCCTATGTGAAACCTTGTAGCTCACCATCCTCGGACAGCTAGCAGTCTATGAAACTAAGGAAGAAGAGGCCACTTGATTTGGAGTTGATGTTTGTCGAATATCCAACCTAATATCAAAATAAATGCTTATTGTACAGAGGTAGATATAAAAATGGGCCAGGTTTACATGCTGTTTCTCTCGGCAGTCTCTCTATCTGCCTGCTGAGCAGCAGCTTTCACTAGCTGTTCGGAGCCATCCATCAATTAGCAAAATAAATCGGAGAATATCTGCAGACAACCTACTTGATATGTCCAATATAGTCGTCCGATCGCCCTAATCTGAATGTTACATCTGGGGTTTAAAACTCCTCCTTAAAACGTTTGTCTTCGTGGCAACATATACAACATGTGGCCACATATATTTCATTGTTACAGAAAACATTTGAATCTCATGTTCAGCTATGTTTTACAATGGAAGAGTGGTCTGAGTCCCTATATATTTGTGCAACCTTGCCCATTATAGGCCTCTTTGTCCAGCTGTCTGGCCAATCAAAAAAGCCAAACTGTGTTCTTCTGCAAGGTCAGCTTTTGTAACATAACAGTAAGGATGATGCCTTTACCACACTAGGTTGGAAACTGTGTAACTTAAAGTATTCAAAGAACTTATATTCTACAATCCAATTAAATTATGTTTTGTTTTTTTAACAGAAAGTTCTTCTGTAAACACTTTTTTATTTAGTTTATGTTAATGTGTGGATGGTGGTTCATCAACAAATACATTTATTATTTTTCCAAAGCACCAGTCCATAAGTCATTGCCATAACAATGCAACAATACATATATGGTGAATCATACTCCAGGGAACTGTCTTCTGTTCAGAAGAAAATCAATCCTATAAAGATGCTAATCCTTCTGAAGATGTTACCAGTTGGTCACTGCTAGTATAGTGCTCACTACATGTTTCGTATTTGTTCAGAGACAGAATGAATGTTCGGTTTGTCTCCTCTCTGTCTATTTTGGTTCTAAAGTGTTGGTGCAAAGCTGTGAATCCAAATCACTATAACTTGTTATTCATGCACAGTATTTGGTAATGTGTCATGATTAACTAAATGTATCTGAGCCCATAGAGGAGTGAAGTTGCGTGGACATATAATTTGGTAAGTTATTGAATTTGCTAAAATATGACTTTTACAACATTATCTCTGTATGCATTTCTTGTGTTATTCATTCTCACATGTTCGGGCTAAATCGTTCATGTGTACATAGTTGTTATGCTACTAACAATAATGACATTATTAACAATGAAGGCTTTTTCATTTTCTAGGCAGGAAGAGCATCAAAATGAACATCCACGACAATACATCCAATTTTTTGGTGCTAGAACGCTTAAATATCTCCTCTGAATACGTCTTTCCTGCATTTCTTTTTGCAACTCTGAGCTACATGATCATACTTTTCTGCAACCTTCTTCTAATACTTACCATTGTACTGAGCAAATCTCTGCATCAGCCCATGTATCTAATATTGCTGAACCTTTCTATCAGCGATCTCATAGGATCCACAGCTTTCTTCCCTCTGGTCATTAAGGGCATACTCACTAACAACAGGACAATGCAATACTCGGCTTGTGTTGTCCAAGCTTTCTTTATCCACATCTATGCAATAGGTACAATTTTCAGTCTGACTGCAATGGCATATGATAGATATATTGCCATATGTTGCCCTTTGAAATACAAAACAGTTATGACGAATGCTCACATTATGGGAATAATCACATTAGTGTGGATGAGTTCACTAGTTTTGATAACTGTCCTTTTTGGTCTGCTTTTGCGTTTACCACACTGTCGATCTGTATTGCACAACCCCTACTGTGATAACCCCTCTCTTCTTACTCTGGTCTGTGCCGACACAACCATCAATAATATTTATGGGCTCTTTATAGTTGCTCTTACACAACTGTTGGCTAATGGGACAATTTTGTACACATATCTCCAGATCCTTGTTGCATGCTTCAGATCCAAGAGAGCCGACACAAAAGCCAGAGCTCTGCAGACCTGTGCTACACATTTGACAGTTTTCCTCCTTTTGGAGTGTCTTGGTCTTTTTACTATCATATCATACAGGATCAAAGGTTTTTCACCACATTTAAGGAGATTCATTGGAATGTCAACTTTAATTTTCCCTCCAACATTAAATCCAATTATCTATGGACTGAAAACCAAAGAAATTAGAGAAAAAGTAGTGTACTTTTTCAGGAATAAAATCTTTCCATCTTAGGCAGGCAGCAAGGTTCAACTTCTTTTTCATGTCTTGCAACCTTATAAATACGTTATTTGCTACTAATTCTTTTTTGTGACTGCAAAACCTAATTTGGCTTTATGTTCATGTAAGGTTTAATTTTCTGACAAAAGATAATTTAAATACCGTGGGCTAATTATTGTACATGATAATGTGAAACAATAAATGTCCCATTTGGAACGTATAATTAATTATTGCATTATTATTTTACTGTTAACAAAATGTAAATAACCTTTATGACCTTGTCATGTTTTCTGCTCCAGGACATTCCCCCCCAATACAATTTTTGTAAAATCACCAGGATTTGTTACTTGAGGAATACTGTGACACACCACTGCTGTTTTTGCATATAAACGTAATTGTAAAAGGCAAATCTGTAAATGAAGTGTCTCCGAGTTTGCTTGGACAATGTAAATACATGTTAATACTAATTTGTTTGATTTGTTAAACTGTAAATAATAAGGAGGTAAACTGAAGACAAGATTCTTTAGATTTTATTAAAATGTTAAGAAATGTCTAATTATCCCAGTCAAGCCTTCTCAATTTCTTGGAACACATGTATTCATGTTACTGTGTGTGTTCACAATACAAATACAGCAGAGGGCGCCATAAGTACACAAAACCGTAGCCATAGCTACTGTGTATTGGTTCAGCCCCGTGTGGATCTTTTACATTTTGTGTGATTTTGCTGCCCTCTTGTGTATTTAAAGGTCAGCATTTACTGCAGCACTCAACATATACATACAGTGGAGCTTTTAAGGAGCCAGGTATTTCATTGAAGACTATATTATGAGTTAACTTAAAATAGCAATAACTTATAAGAATTGGAAGATAATGTGTTCCAGAAATGACGTACTTTGTTACTCCAGATATAATTTGAACGACATAGATCGAAATCTTAATATTTTATATTCTAGCACATTGATCAAATATATATATATATAGGTTTGGATCAACTATCAATTACACTGACCATTATTTTAATAAAGATTGCTGCTTACTTTATAAACTTGTTTGTATTGTTGTCTTTATAAATTGTTTTTGTTAGCTTATCTTTTGTCACCCATGCTGCCATTTTCGTGGCTATACATGCAGTGTGTCTTCATGTACTTTTTTCTTTGTCTTGACAATATTTGTTGGTCACAAACCACTAAAGTACATTTTTCTACATAATTGGACAATTAAGCAGAAACTGAATATATTGTCCATTCAAATAATGCCTGCACGAGGCTGTAAATTAAATGATCAAATATGTCCAAATAATATACATTTATATTACAGCGTGACAATTGTAAAACATACTTGTTTCTGGTGATATTTTAGACTAAGGCTGTAGATTTTAGACATACAGCCTTAACTACAATTTTAACCCTCACCCTAAACAAAACTACATTGTGAGCATCCTTGATGTATTAATATTATACATCATAAAGACTACCTAATATGTTAGATCGCACATTCAACTTGTAAAAAGTAATTGCACATTGAAAAAAAATCTACGTTGTCCAAAGTTATCTGTTATAGAATTTTTTGAGGGTACCCGAAATCTGTTAATAAAATAAAAATAATTACTTTTGTTTTACTACCATTATATTGGGCTTTTCGTAGGCTGCTACTGTTTGTATGGATAGAAAAATGGAGAATGATTGATGACCGTTTCTGGGGAAGGGAATGAAAGTTAACAATAGGCGTTACAAAACATTGTAAGATAACCCTTTTTGTATTCTGAGGGACTTTGCTGTGCATCAGTTTCCAGTCCAAAGCAGGAAGAGTGCAAATGCAAGATAATGAACAGAAAGACAGATATAACTAAGAGATAGATATGAATCAAAGCTGAACCGAAAAAAGGAGCTGAAACCACCTCAGAGAGTAAGAAGTTAACTGGAATGAAGCCAAGTTACGTTTTCACAATCTTAAAATATTCTTTCTTTCCCAACAGAGTAGGAAATCTGTCCACTCCATGCAAATTGTGAACAATATTTTGTACATGATGTTTAAAAAATGTAAGAATATTATAAATGTAAGTTGCTACAATGACAAAAACATACTTTGTCTCCACACTGGGGTCAAATTTGATATTGTGCATTTCAATTTTATGACGAGGTCAGAAATATTCGACATACTGTAGTTCATTTACAACCTATAACAATTCATTTCAAACAAAACTGTTATCACTCATTATTTTAAAAGATGTACCGTAGCAAAATGTTCTGCATTGCCAGATTTAGTAACACTAAGACAAATACATTACTTGTAAGGGGCTCACCACCGCTAGAGCTGACTTTACGAAAGGCGCACCAAAGGCCTCCATAAAACAAATAGAAAACAGTGCCTTAAATTGTGTGGTAGTAATTTAGTTTATTTAAAATGTCACATGTAATTATCAGATTATAGAACAATTAAAATGCCTTTTTAGGATAAGGGATTCTTTGCTTTTGTTCTATGAATGCCTCTGTAGCTTGTCAGGAGACAGGATTTGAGATGTTGTGATGAATACTCAAAAGTAATATGGATAGTATGACCTGCTGCTGAGAGAAAAATAAAAACCACAATCAGAACAATGTGGTGAATTCAGATGATCACTTCTCTTTAAAACAGCCTTCACCACCAGAACAAGATAACACTTAAGCCGTATGACACTATTTAAACTAAAATGATATCTAGTCGTCATATTAGGATATAATTTTTTATATAACGCCCAGCCCTATCAGAGGGCAGGTAATATATTACATTACATTACATGTCACTTGTTAGATACTTTTATCCAAAGCGACTTACATACTCAATACTGTGGACAATCCCCATGGAGCAATTTTGGGGTGAAGTGTCTTGCCCAAGGACACAACGACATGCTGACTGCAGTGGGGTTTCAACCTGTGAACCCCTGATCCGAACACCTACACACAACCCACTGCGCCACATGCCTCCCCACACATAATTATGTGTCAACAAGACCATATTCAATAAAAGAAAATGGTGTATTTGAAGATTAAGAATAATCAAAATGACAATACTAGAGTCTAACTAAACATTGTTGTTTTAGTTGTTTCAAATGTCTTTGCTGTTTTATCTTTATACATTATCTGTAATATTTATACATAATGAATATAAGTTCTTGTGTATTTAATATTGCTTTTCTAGGTTAAGGGGTGGTGCTAAAAAGCTGTTTACTTGTTTTGTAATTCATGCACCTTGCGACACCAAACCACCTTAGCTTCCAATAATTTTCACCAGGATCTGATTGGTTTGCTTTGAGCTTGTCGTCACCCATCGGAGGGTCTCTTTCTTCTCCCGCTGAACTTTGTTACCAACATTGTGTCACGGTTACGAACGCGTGGTTACTGTTTCTTTCTTTAACTTCGCTCATTAGGTTAATGACTTCTTTGTTTATGAGGCGTTGATAGGAAAGATGTGTCACTCTCATACTCCGGTGGGGTGAGTCCTCTGCCCTCAGCTCTGGTAATGATCCTCAGAGGATTTGGTGACATAATGCAGTAAACAGCTACTGACTTGTTTGGCAACATTTACAACAGTGACAAACAAGTACACTTTTTTTAGAGTTGTTTGCCTCTGAGTTGCGTTTCCTTAACAAAGCTGTATGTATTGTAATGAACTTTTATCTAATTTAAGTCGATGTAGACGAATCACAGTAACTAAGTACATTTGGGTCATAGACTCCAAAAAAATTAATTGCTTTGATGCTAAACATAAAAAAACATAATTACAATTTGATATAAGATCAAAAATAAATAAACACACAGTTAATATTTTGCCATGACATGGAAATAAAGATATGTAAATCAGAAATATATTCAATCTCAAATCCATCTTAATAAATTATTATAAAGAGAGTTTGTGACTTGTGACGTTTGTGTAACTTTTGCTGCAGTGCTTTGACTTACTTTTCACTTGTGCATTTCGTTAAAATGTCAATTGATGATGATAGAAATGATGAATCCAGTTTATTAATATTTGTTCAATAGCTGTTCCTTCAATATTTTTTGCTACAATTAAAAGTTCAAATACACTGTCAGATGTGTGGTGTAATACATAATGTAAGACAAACTAGGCATTCATTATCATTTTAATATTTTTCGACAAAGATATTTATTCTGTATTTTATAAGGAAAAATATCACGATATGTATCAATATGTAAAACATAAACATGCATTACATAAACTGTGAGAAAGGCCCTTCAGGGACCGACTTGCATATGAATCTAATGTCAGCCCTGCAACCATAGCGTTGAATTAACTGTTTATTTCAATAATATTTCTTCTGTTTTTATTATTCAATCAAAAACTGCTGAAAGAACCTCCAAAATAATAATAATCAAAACGTTGGTCAGCTGCAATTCCAATATAGAAGTTAAAAGAATAAATGGGAACATATCAAGTTTTTTCCCACCTAAAATGCATATTATGTTCAAAATGTATTCTTGCTGTCCTTTATGCAATGAATTTAAGCATTATTGGTTGTTTAGAAAGACAACTCTAATTCAAAGACCTGGAAGAAGGATTCATTTAATTCACATTTAAATTAGAACCATTTTAAAATACTGCATTAAAAGTAAAAGTCCTGCATTGAAAATGTTGCCTATATAATGATATGTACAGTAAGTATTAGCAAAGTATACTTAAAGGGGACCTCTCATGCAAAATGCACTTTTGTACGTCTTTCATACATGGATATGTGTCCCCGGTGTGTCAGGGAACTCACCAAGTGTCCGAAAACACAACCCTCTCTCTTTTCCTCCATACCCAAATCTCTAAAAACGGGGCTGCAACGGAGCTGATACAGATTTGAATTTCTCTGACGTCAGAAAAGGGGTGCTCCACCTATATGGGCAACTCTCCACCTATCAGGGGAATGAGAGACCGCTCGAAAGCGCTGGAGATGCTGTAGTACATATGCCAGGCCTGTAAGTGGTGCTGTTGTCTCCCACAAAAGCAGCGAACACAGGGTTCGGTCCGGATTGATTTGCAGTTCGGTCCGGAACCGGACCTTGTTCCGGAGTTTGAGAAGCCCTGCTATACTGTATTATCTTAACGTTTTTTCTCAATTGCTGATGTATTTGTGTAGCATGTTCCTCCAAGTGAAGCTACTGTAGTTAGTATTACGATTAGGTTTAATAACCTTCTACAACAAATAATTGTGTTAAGTCTTCATCTTAAAGGTTCTACATTGTCAGATAAATGAAGTGTAAAAAAGTTGAAAGTTTCTATCACATTCTTTAGCCAGTATAGGTTTATGTGCTTTATCATAATTAAACATCTTCGTAAACACCTACAATGGCTTAGAACTTTGAAAAAAGAACACAAGTTCCAAGAGGGAGTTAATTAGCAACTTGTTTGTGTGTGTGTGTGTGTGTGTGTGTGTGTGTGTGTGTGTGTGTGTGTGTGTGTGTGTGTGTGTGTGTGTGTGTGTGTGTGTGTGTGTGTGTGTGTGTGTGCATGTGCGTCAAAGTGAGAGTGCAGGCCTCTCTTTGTACCTTAGACCTTCTCAAAACAGTCTTGTTTTCCGCTATGTTTCACATTTAGAATTATCTTCTGTCTTCTGTTTAACCAATACTTTCTTTATCTAATTTCCCAGGGAAAATGGAGGACACCGGACTAATGCTATACTTTGAATTTACAATTATTCTCTTATTTTTTGTAATTTTTCCATTCTGCGAATGTATGGAAAACTAACAAGTGCCAAAGTCGAAATTATTCCTAATTGTTCTTATCTTTTCCAGCCAAATTAAAAGTAAATTCACAAAAATAAAGCATGTTTTTTCAAACACCCTCCTCCCTCAGATTCCTATGCCCCAGAATCTGTTTTGCGTAGTACATGATCAAACAAAAAACAAGGTAGGCCTATATGACCATGTAAGGCTTCAAACATGATCACAAAAAAAATTAGTATCTGGAAGTGCTTTGTTTGTTTTTGAGCTACGGACAATTATGCTTGAGTTGCTAACCAGGTGAATGGGGTATTGCAGGCCTATTCAACTGGCGGTCCGCGGGCCAGATGCGGCCCAGAATCAACTCCCGAGTGGCCCATCCTCCCGTAGCCAAATTCCTACACTAGTACAGACCATGAACGCAACACTCCGCCTTGCATAGAAACCACCAAATCACAACGCAGCACGTTTTTTTGAAA